GAAGCTTGCGGCATCCCGGATGAGGACGGGCCCCTTCCTCTGCTCAGCCCCTCTCTTCCCATCGCCCTTGTTGTATTCGGCGTTGTCGTCCAAGTCGAGCGGGTGGTTGTGGCGCTGGTGCTTGTGGCTGTGGATGGGGCAGGCCAGGAGGATGGTCATGTCTTTGGCTGACTGTTGTACCCCCTTGCGAGCGGTGTACGCCAGCTGGCGGGCGGCAGCCTGCCGAAAGCCCTCACGACCGTGGGTAGTTCTCCGTCGTTTCCAGCTGGGGCACGTCTCGCAACTCGTCCTGACCACGTAGTGCGTGGACTTCTGGTCGTAGCACTTGGCGTTGGCGTTGGCAGCGGCGGCTGACGTCGTCGCGGGCTCCGCGTCCGACGTGGCCGGGCAACCGCCGCGCAGGCACGCCACCTGGGCCTCCCAAGGGGGGGAGCCGAGCAGGGGTGCTCCACGGGTCCACGGGGCTGTTCGCGCTCAGATGGCTGCGACCTCGCAGGCAGGATGTCCGCTGTGTGGTACAGTCGATCCGTATCTGAAGGGTGCGCGAGACGGATGCGAAGGGCCGTGGACGCCCATTTCGCAGCTTTTCGAGGGGGGAGCGGCCGACGGAAGTGGCCAAGGATGGACCGAGGAGGCAAGGATGCAGGGATACCCTTGGGAACGTTGTCCATCCTTACCATGCGGGTTGACTGTAATCCGTCTACTTTTTTGTCCAGAGGTCCCATAATCATGATCAGTGGTGATGGAGCAAGCAGTGTATTGTAGGCCTCCCCACCACGGGACCTCGAGGTTCCTCGGAGGACGAGGGAGGTAAGATAATGCTCAGGCGCCCATTTCACCACAATGTGGCTCCGAACTGCTGCGTTTGTCTGCGCGGCGGCAGGACAATTGCAGCGATGGTAGTATAATCGCATATACTGAGGAACTCCAACTCTTCTTCCTCCTGAGCCATTTTGGCGAATCCATGCTGAAGATCATCACCTGATCTTGCGGGGAACTGTGCGGCGTCTGAGGCAGCAAGCGCACGTCCCCTCCGCCACTCCTCAAATTTCCCCCCTCCACCCGGGGACGGGACGGACAACACAAATCTCAAACAGCCCCCGCAGGGAGAGTTGCTTCTCTTCGGGTTGGGGGGGGACGCCCGCGGCGGAGGGAGCACTCCTCTAGTTCAGGGCACTGGACACCCCCGCGAGCCGTTTGAGAAGGAATCCCGGGGCCAGATGCCGACGACAAGCGTGGACGATTCGGGGGCCGCGGAGGGCGATCGCGACGGCCACGGCCGGTGACGATCGCACGCCGCCCCTGGCATAGTCATGGCAGACACCGGGGGAGAAGCCACTTTGCAAGACAGCGCATGCAGCGCTGGCGCATGAGCGTGACGAGAAGACAGGAGGGGAAAGGCGGGAAGAGGTGCGCTGCCCAGTGCCGTCCCTCAGGGCACCCTGGCCCTTCACAGAAACACGGACGGTTGACATGTGCATCGCCCGGCAGAGACTACGCCGGCAGGAGGCTGGGGGGGGGGGAGGAGGAGGGTAAGGGGCAGTCCAAGTAACAGGGTGGAGGGAGGGCGGGAGCGATGGGCGGAGGGGGCGAGACGCCACGCGGAGGGGCGAGAGAAGGAGTTCCCCTCCTTCCTCCTGCGCCTCCTGGCCTCGCGGGAGGCCACGTGCCTCAGGCCGCGTGCTCGTCCAGGCTGGGGCACCCCTCCCCCCCGTGCCCTCGACCTTCGCGCCCCAGGGCCCGCGCGCCCGGAAGCAAGCGACGCCACGCCTGCGCAGCGGCGGCTCCTCCCGCGCGGCGCCCGGCGGCGCCTCTCACTGATGGCCCTGCAGTGCCGATCGGAGGGGGCCCCGGAGGCCAGAAGGCGTGGAGGAGCGCCCGCGGCGTGATCTCGTCGCAGCGCCTGGAGGTCTCCGAGGAGCCCCGGACACCCCCCCTGCTCCCCCACCTGCCGCACCCTCCGCGCGGCAAGCGCAGCGCCGACGGCGGGCGCCGCGGCAGCGCCTGCTGGCGCGGGGAGGTGCGGAAGCTGGGGGTCAGGGGGCTGGGTAGCCCCGTCTCTGCTGTCCGGGACAGGCCCGGGGCTGCGCGAAGCCACTCCTGGGTCCGGAGCCATCCGAGGCCACCTGAGCGACGAAAAGAAATGGGCCTTACGAGGCAGCACGTAGCGACCTCACGCCGCGGCTTACGCGGGCCGCCCGCGTCGACCCCCGCCCCCCCGCGTGGAGAAGAGGGCGCTTGTGCGGGGACTCACGGGGGAAGCTTGTGGGCGCATGTCCGCGCAAAACCGACCCCTCTTCTTTCGTCGCCCCTCTGGACGCCCAAAGAGTGCAGGCGGATTTGGGAAGACAAACAGAACATAGTCAACACATAATAAAAAAACATCACAAGAACAGGAGAAACCGTCACCATATCGTTTTGCTTTCCCATATTCTGGAATATTCTTCCTGTGGAGTGACGTGCCCGACTTCAGTGCAGCAGGTGCCTCCCTCCCCCCCACACCCACACCCACACACACACACACACACGCACACACACACGCACACACACACACACACACACGCACGCACACACACGCACACACACACACACACACGCACACACACACACACACACACCATGCAGACACCATGCAGACAGCCCGCGCCCGCCCCGCCGAGGCGCGAGGCCCGGGCGCGTCGCCGCTGGGGCCCCGGCCACTCGAGCCCCTTCCACGGCTCCGCCGGGTCGATGCACCCGTACTTGCACTCGCCCCAGCCGGCGTCCTCGGGCGGCGCGGGCCCCGCCCTCCCCCCCACCGCCTCCCTCCTCGCGAGCGTGCTCTGGTTCGGCGTTTCGACCTCGGGCGGAGGTCGGGCGTTTTTTTTCCATAGGGGGGTGGCCCACATAGGGGCGGGGGTGAAGAAAAGCGCCCGAAAGGAGCTCTTTGGGGCCCCTCTTGGAGCCAGCATGGGCCCCAAAGGGGCCCTAATGGACCCTTTTCGGGCCCCCTCTTCACCCTCCATGTGGGTCACCCCCCACTGCCACCCGCCCGAGGAGGGCGGGGAAGAGGGGGGTCTGGCTCCGAAACTCCGCTTAGCGCGACTGTTTGCAACAGTGCGTGCGTCCTACGGGAGAAACGCCACCTGCTTGAAACGGGCGCCAAAAACAGCCAAGATCTACTCCACTGGGGGGGAGGAGGGGGGCCGCGAGGGCCCGCGCCGAGATCGGCAAAACAGTGAACAAAAAGACGACGCCTTCCTCTTCCTTCCCCTCATCCGCTGCTCCTCCCCCCTCCTGCCCCATCCTCCTCGCGGTGCTGATCAGCCCCTGCTCGCGGCTGCCACTCTCTCTCCATCGCCCCATGCAGATCTTCGGGCCGCGGCCGTGCCAGCAAAGCAGCGCCCCTCGTGCCCCATTCATCGCCATGCTCTCCGTCGCTCCTCCCAGAGAGTCGTCGCAGACGCATGGGGCCTGCGCCGCTCTTCCGGTACGTGTGCGCGGAATGATTGGCAGGGCCGCGGACGCTTCTTTGCGTGCCTGCGTGGGTTCAGACTCCTCGTCGTCACCGCCCTTCGTGTCTCGGGCTCGGCCAGAGCGACCTCTTCGGCGACGGGCCCTCTCTGGGACGACCCCCTCGCGCTCGAGCGCCGGCCTCCGGCCGCCCGCCCACATCGCGGAGCGAGGCGAGGGGGTCGTCCCGGAAGGGGTGGGTGTGCCGCGGTGGGTGGCGATCAAGTGTCCACACTCCTCGCGCCAAGCTGGTACGGCATCGAACTGCGCGGAGCAGATATCCGTAGCCCTGACTCCGGATCCGCCCTACTCTGGGGAAATTCGCAAGTGGGGCTTAGAATTTCCGCCTCACTTTTCGAGCCCCGCTGATGCCAATTTCCGCCCTACTTTTCTGTTGCTGTTTCTGTGGATTTCCGCCCTATTTTATGTTGGGTGCAGCAATTTCCGCCCTACTTTTTCGGCTCCTTATAGGTGGATTTCCGACGCAATTGTAAGTGGGAAAAAAGCCAAAGTAGGGCGGATCCGGAGTCAGGGAGCCCCCGTTCCCCCCCAAACCCAACGTTGACGGGGTTGGGTTCGAGGCAGCGCGCGGGGCACAACACATGGGCACTTCAGCTTTGGGTTTGGGGGTGAGGGGGGGCGAGCCACATGTATATTGCAATTGTCGTTGCCATCATGTCTGATTGTCTTCACGCCGTCGGCGTGGACAATTTTTGTCCGGGCACCGTAGGGGTCGGTTAGGCCGCGCTTGGATTTTGATCAGTCTCGAGATGATAGATGATATCCGCCGCCGTGGTTGGATTGCATCGGATCCATTGCTGTCCAGCATCCTGCGGAGCAGAACTTCGGCCCCCCCTGACGCATCGAGCCCAACATGCGTCCAGGTTTGGCTCAATATCTATCTGATTCGGCCCTCCGCATCACCGTTGCGGCTGGAACCAAAGTTTCGGGCAGCAACTCTGTTAGTATCGTGAACCTCGCCTCCTGGCCCTTCATCCCCTCAAAAGGGGGACGGGCGGGGGCGGCGGTACCATCTTGGCCGCCGACCCGAACTGGCCGAACCGACCCGATCTCCCCGCACCGGACGGGACCAAATCAAACCGGTCCGTCACAGAACCGGCCCACCGCCGAACCGGCCCGAACAGACCCAGCATCCCCCCCGTTCCCCTCCCCTCCCCCTTCTTCTTCTTCTTCTTCTTCCTACACCTCGTGATACTCTCCTTCTCCTTCAGGCCCTATGGGATCGCTGATAAAACAAAGCATCATTTTTCTTCTCCTCCCTCCCCGCAACTACCTCCCCACTTCTACTTTCTACCTCTCCTACCTCTCCTCCTCCTCTTCCTCCTCTTCCTCCTCTTCCTCCTCTTCCTCCTCCCCCCCTTCTTTCGTACTTGTGGAGCCCCGCCTCCTCCATCCTCCTCGCCGCATCTTCGCCCTCCTCCCCCACTCGCGCCCGCCCCCGCGCCTTGCCGTAGCACTGCTTGCCCTCGTCCGCGCAGCAGCCCACGTCAATGCAGTTGGTGCCCGACTGCGCGCACTGCTTCTGGCCGGGGCAGGCGGGGGCGGCACCCGGGCCGCGGCAGCCGGTGGCGGCGCCCGCTCTCGAGGACAGGCCTCTCACGAGCGGCGAACGCATCCGCACCCACGCCCTCGCGGTCTGGGCTCCCAGGGGCCGATCCCGCGGAGGCGCGATCGCACGGGTGAGTGCCGCGCGGGGCAGCCGCGAAGAAGACGCCCCGCATCCGTGGGGCCGCGGCCCAGGGGCCTGCCCCGCGAGGCCGCGGAGGTGGCCATGGCTTTCGCCCATTGGGCCTCGCGAGGGCTCCAGGAGCACCACGGGGCCCCCCCGAGGAGTCCTCCCGAGGCGCAACAGAAAGGGGCCTCGCCCGCTCCTGTTCTGCTCGTACGGGTTCTCTTGCTCCGGGGCTCCGGGGCGCTTCTCTGGAGGCGGTGTCCAGTGTGCCTCTGGGGCTGCACTCGGGGACTCCTCTGGGCCATCGCGGGATCTTCGAGGCCCTCCCGACCGTATCGGGCGGCTCGGAGAATTCTCTTGAGCCTCTTGGCTCTTCTGGGGCCTCTGTCCAACATCCCAAGGAAACTCCGGACGCTCCCTTCAGCCGGGTGACAGGTAATTAATCCAGGGGAGGAGAGGAAGGCGGGAGAATGGAAGAAGTGCGCCGCCTCCAGGCGGGGGGGAAGTCGCAAGTCAACAGAAGGGATAGAGATAGGCACGTCGAGGGGCCCCGCGAAATTTGCGGATGGAGAGGGAGATGATGAGGATGATGAGGACGATCAAAGGGAGAACGGGCAGCATGACGCAGAGGACTGGGAGCGAGTTGAGGAGGGAGGGGGATGTTGGAGGAGGAGAAAAAGGATAGGGGGGGAGTGGAGGAAGGAAGCAGAAAACAAGGAGGCGTAGAGAGAGGAGGGCGAGAGGGAATGGGAGGGAGGGAGAGGGAGGGAGGGGGGAGGATAGAACAATGATGGTTCACGAAGGCGGGAACGAGGGGGAGGGAAAGAAGGATGGATCAATGGGGTCGGCGTGGAGAGATGCGGAGGAAAGGAGGAGGAAAGAAGGAGGGATGATGGCCGGAGTGACGGGGCGGGCGGAAGGAGAGATCTCACTCGCGGGTGCGAAACACAGGCACGTGGAAGAGGTACACTTGGACGGAAGACGCCCGACGGTCCGACACCCGGGGGGGGGGGGAACAAGTGAGGGACACTCCCCCGCTCACCCAAACTCAGAGTTGGCACGCGCCGGGAAGGCTGCGGTCGAAGTGCAATCCACCAGGCCCACCGCCAACGCTGAACGCTGGGGGGAGGGGGAGGCGTTGACCGGTGGATGTGGCACGCGTGTTCGCTACGTTTTTTCCCGAGGCCTGCCCCGTAGGGATCTCAGGGGGGGCGGCGAAGAACGAGACGGGCCTGACGAGAGAAGGCACGGCGACCTTACGCGTTAGCTCACGCGGGCCGCAGGCGCGGCACACACCCACACACCCACACACACACACACACGCGCACACACACACACACACACACACACACACACACCACACACACACCACACACACACACACACTTCGGTGGCAACTCATGGGAGCCTCACGTACCATCTTGTCGACCCTTTCGAATCGACGCTCGTCGACGCTAAATCGACGCTAATCGACGCTAAATCGACGTCCATCGACGCTAACCGACGCTGCATCGGCACTATCTCATTGACTCCCAAACGCTCATCGACGCTAAAGACGGAATTGAGAAGGTACACCCAACTCCCATGACTTGCTACCGAACACGCACCGTGGAAACGGGAACGCCTGTGCGCGACCCCACGTGAGCAGCTTACGCGCCAAGGTCAGCGCAACCAGCCCCTCTTCCTGAAGCCCCTCTTCCTGAAGCCGCTCAGCATCGCTCGGACGTCCATTCCCCGTGCACTTTTCGGTTTCGTGCGTGCTTTTGGCTGCCAAAATGATATGGGATGCTCCTCGATGGCCCTCGCCGAGAAAAAAAACCAAGCACCGACGACCCCGCCGAGACGAGGGCCGCGCGGAGGCGCCCCGCGCCGCACACGGCCGGCGAGCGCCTGGCCAGCCCTCGCTTCCGTCGCTGGTCGCGGCAACTTCCCGCTCGAAACGCTAAGGACCTGCTCTCTTAATGGGCGCTGGAAGCGACGAGGCCGTTTCTCTTGCCGGTTCCATGTTGCCGTTCACTTGCCGGTGCCGTCGCCGTTGTTTTGCCGGTTCCGTCGCCGCTGTTTTCCCGTTCCGGCTCTGGCTCCAATCCCAGAGCCGTCCTTTTTGTCGTTTCGGGTCGGCGTTTGTTGGCCGTTGCCATTTTCAAGAGACAATTGTTCGGAAACGGTGGAAAAACGGCTCTGCCGTTTCCGGGGCCCACCAAGTCTCCAGCATGTCCCGAGATGGCGCCAACTCTATGCAACAACACCGAATCTATGTAATTACACAGGGACCCTCCGACGAATTTTGCATGTACCTTCCGAGAGGGTGGCGGTGTAGAAAGTTGCTGGCTGGCTCTCACTGGTAAATACAGCGCCGCCCTCCCCTGAGGCCCAGGAGCAATCCATTGGAGTGCGTCTGTGTATCTATATATATATATATATATATATATATATTGGCGGCGGAATCCAGGATCGGTGTAGGCGCCCGCCTGGCCCAGCATGGAGAGCGTGCGCCCATGCAGTGCCAGTGGGGGTCACAACGAAAGGGGGTCGCCGACTCTTCGAGGAAACGGCCCCCCCTGGACGCCCCAGAACCCCCCAGGACCCCCAGAAACGCCAAAAAACTTCCAACACCTCATCGACCTTCGAGTCTGCCTCCTCCTCCTCCTCCTCCTCGATCCCAAGTGGTGACCCCCCTTTGACACTGGCTCGTGCACACCGGCCCAATGCCGACGATCCGGGACCGGTGCCGGTGCACCGTTGGCGCCCTCCGGGGTCAGCGGAGGCGAGCCTCTGCCGCGGCTCCAGGTGGGCGGCCCGCCGTGCCCGCGCGCTTGGCGGGCCGAGCGCGGCAGGGAGCTGGCTCACGCCCCCTCGGGAGGCCAGCCGGGCCTGCGCCACGCGCATCGCCAAGTCGCGTGCAACTGTGGGCTGGGTCTGCTCAATGGTTGGCGGCGCGCCGAGGGGGGGAGTGAGGGAGGCAGGCCTTCTCCACAGGCCCTGGGGGCTTCTCAGGAGCAGGCGGCCTTCTGCGAGGCCCTCTGCGGCTTCGGCGAAGAACGAGAAAGCTCCCCAAGGGACCGCCTCCTCTGCCCTGCCCACTGGGCGCGCCGCCGAACTCAATACTCCGTGTGTCACTGCCGCAGTGGTGTAGGAACCGCAGGTGGAGAACGTGCACGAGTGTCTCATCAACCCCAGCGGGCATCTCGACCTCGTCCGGAGTCCTTAGCCAGGACGGGAGCATGGCTACCTCCAGCTCGAAGAATACATCTCCATTGATGTGCCTGCCGAGCTATTGCTGCGAATGGACTGAATGCTTCTGGGCTGCATGACCACCGCGCGCTGCCTGCTACATCCCAATTTGCCGCTGGAACTTCTCTCTCAGACCCGTAAGTACCTCCCACTTTCGCCTGGCTTGGCGCCTGGTTTCGGCCAGCTGCCCCACAGGCTTCACGCAGTTCTGTGTTCGCTTCGCACCATGCGCGTGCGAAGACAACTGAAACCCAACACGCAGGTCGATCTAGCTGGTGTGGGAGGATAATCCAGCACGAGTCGAACTGGCTCAATGCGCTAGCGGGACCGCCCACGTGGTCGCCCACTTATTGAATCATCGCAGACAAAAAAAATAACTGAAATACGATTGTCGCAAGCAGCGATCGGAAGAGCCGTTCGGTCGGTTCCTGCTCGCGGAATCAACTTCGAGTTCCGACCAGCCTCCGTCACCTCTCTAGGAAAAAAGAACAAAAACTGCGCATACATAAAGGTTCGAAGTTCCGCGCGAATTCCTTGGATCTGCGCTGACCCCCCTTCCTGGGACGCGGAGCGCGCCAGAGGCGGCGCCAGAGCCCAGCGCGGATCCAAGAAATCCACACGGAGCTCCGAAAGTTTATGCTTGTGCCGTTCTTCTTCTTCTTCTTCAGATTTGCAGTCCAGACGGCTGCCTGGCAAGCACCAGCTGCCGCGGCCTTCTTTGCTTCACTATTGAGGGGCAACGATAGGGGGTGGGACTGGGAAACATCCACCCAGAATCGGCAATGCGCCGCCGACAAAGCGGCGATGGGCCCTGGATAGCAGATCCAGAAGGTCCTGTGCGGGGTAGGGCACCAGGCCTCCCTTGGCGGTCGATGGGCGACAAGGGGTCGATGCATCCCCCCTCTGAGCATAACGCTCTCTAACGTTGCTCCTGACTTACCCGGCACCAAGGATGGTCAAGAGTGCGGGTCGGCTGCAGGTGCGGCCGACGCAGGTGCCGCGGCCAGCTCTCCCAACAGGAGCTGGCGCCTGTCGGGGATGGACAGAACCTCCATTAGTATAACGTGGTTTAGTGAAAACGACCTCGGGCCCAAACCTGGCGGGCGCAAACCTGGAAAACGACGGCCGCAGCGCCCTCTCGGGAACCGAAAGCGGACAATTCACTAATCGACGTGTCAGGGTTGATGCTCTGTCCACCCCCCGAGCCTGGACTCGTTCAGGATCTTGACTCCGCGCACGCGTTCCACCTCGTCGAGCTCGGCGAGGAGGCGGGCCTTGGCTGCGCCGTAGAGGACCAGGTCGTCGGCGACCAGAGCGTCCAGTTCTCGCCAGGGCTCGACCTAAGCAGTGTTTTGGTTCGTGCTAGTGTTGTGTTCGGCTTCCCTCGTTTGGTCATCGCTCAGCCTTTGCCGCAACGAACGTGGCCCACGAAACTGGCCAAACACCGTGTAGGTCGAGCCCTGGTTCTCGCAGGAGCTCTGGCGGCTCCTCACGGACGCCCCTGTGCGAGTGGTCCACCCCGTGCGCATTGTGGTGCAGCTTGAACTGGAACTTGCGCCAGGCCTTCGTGTCACTCGAGTTGCAACCAGCCGGGAGTGGGGTCCTTAGGTCCAGTGTCCTGGCCATGAACAAGCAGACCGACTCCTGGTACAGTTCCAGGACGCCCACGAACCACGCAGCCCACATGTTGCGAAGAGCGTGTGAGAGGTTGACCGTTTTCTGAAACTGGAACGGCCTGCAACAGGTGAAGCGATGGCTCTGCATGCTGATAGGATGATAACACTTGTAAGGTGTGCGCGTGTCGAAATGGTTGACGTGCTGAAAGCCGAAACCTTGTCCAAAGTCACCGTAGTGTGAACCTTTGGCCCTGATGCGGGTCCAATTCCTGATCCACTCATCGAAGGTGGGCAGCATGCTGCTGAAATCTTTATTCCACGGCTTTTTTGCCTGAATGGAAGATTTGCAATGCCAATACTGGGACATGATGTGCTCCCGAGGGTCCCGTGCGACCGCCACAACGCCGTCCCGCATGCAGTTCTTCCCCCACCACTCTTTCCCAACTCCTTGCAGAGAGCCGCTGTCTGGGTTAAACTTCCGGTGCCAGCTGTAGCACCCCTCCAGTCCGAGGATCTCCTTCCCGAGCGGATGCAGCGCGAGGAACCAGATGTCCTTCAGGAACGAGTCGCCGCCCGTCTTCGGAGTCTTCAGGTAATACTGGTGGACCAGTTTTCCACCGCCACTACCATACCTAAGAGAGGTCCTCCTCCTCCTCCTCCTCCTCCTCCTCCTCCTCCTCCCTCGCCTACCTATGGTAGCGATGGTGGACAATCGGCCCATCAAATACAGGAACGGGCCCGGATCCGCGAACAGGTCGCGCGGGACTGCCGCCGCTGGAACGCCACCCTCCCCCGCGGAGGACTCCCCGGCCCGAGCGGCGAGCGCCTCGCCCGCCGCCTCGCAGGCGTCCGCCGGCAGCGCCAGCTGGCGGCAGGCGGCGCACACGTCCGCAGCGGCTGCGCCCTCCCCTGGAGGATACCTTCTTTCAGGTTCTGGCCGGTTCACTTGCATGGAGGAGGGGGAGGGAGGGAGGGGGGGGGGGCGTGGTGTGCCCAGAAGGGCCACCTGCACTGCACGCCCGTCGGGACTCACCTGAAACGCGCTGCTCGCAGCTCAGCTCGGCGGTGGGGTGGGGGGGGTGGGGACAGGCCATGCAAGTAAGCTTGCCTGCGTCTTAAGAAGGCAGCCTCCCGCGCCCTGGCCGCGGCCTGCGGAGCTGCTGCGCGCAGCCGCCGCAGCCCCCGCCCTGCCGCCGCCGCCCGCGCCCCGCGCTGCCGCGGCCTCCCCGCCGCCGCCGCCCAGGACTGGGCCCGGCGGCGGCGCGGCCGCTGCAGCTGCAGCGGCAGCCTCGCCGCCGCCGCCACGGCCCTCGGGCGCGGCATCTCCTCGCGGAAAGAAGCCTCTTTAGCAAAACCTGCCTGGGGCAATCCAGGTGCGCACGGCACCGCATTCCGAGTGCACCCCAGCGAGGTAGGCAAATAGACGTCCGCAAACAACCGAGTGCATCTGGCGAAACGCATGTCGATTGGCGAAACCGACTGGGGACTGCGACGGCACACTCGAATGCCAATGTCAAGTGAGCCCGTGCGGAGTGCCTCAGTCGACTTGTCTGGGTGGGCGTTCTCACAACGCCCGATCCTCCTGCGCCGCCCCGACCCAGGGCCACGCTCGACGACGGATCAGCGGCTGCGACCGTCGCCGCTGCGGTGGCCCCTGGGGGACAACCCATCTCACCACGCCCCAGATCCCTCCTGGAGTGCATTCTGCCCCTGCTTAGAATTCAGAAACTTCTAAGCTAAGAAAGCGGACAAGGCGTTTTCTTACACAGTAGCCCAGGCCCAGATATACGAAAACTCTCAGAAAAGGAAAGCTCCAAAAACATGCGCAGGGCCGTCCAGATTCTTGAGTTTCGTTGGCGAAATCTGGAGCCCGTGAAAATTGCTACGGTTTCTTAAGACTTCGGATGGGTGTCGAACTCCGACAGGAATCCAGACGTGGCGACGAGATCTCTCCCGGGCGAGCGGCGGTGTCGGCTTCTCTTACTCCGCGTGAGCCCCCTCGCCTGCGCCGCCGCCGTCGCCGTGGCGCAGCGAGATGCCGACGAGGGCGGCCTGACCCGGGCTTCGCCACAGCAGGGCCGCGCCGAGGGCGCAGCCCGTGATGACGAGGCAGGGAAGCGCCGCGCTGCGGCTGGGGTACATTCCTAAGGCCCTGCGTGGCGGCTTGAGCCAACCGGCTACAGCACCGTGACGAGAGTTTTCGGCGCTTGCCACTGCCGCAATCGCGCGGATCAGTTGCAGTAGAGGCTACTCCAACCTCGCCGCGGTAGCAAGTATCGCGCTGCATTGTTCATAGCGGCTGGCGCGGAGTAGTGCTCGATCCTGGATCGGGATACAGAGAGACAACCTCGGGGATCGAAACTACTCCGCCGAACGACGCAACCATCATGTTAAGATAAGGGTATGTGGAGGACGGGAGAGATCTTCGCCATCACCGCTGCGTATGGAGGGCGGAGGAGGTCCCAGCCAATACAGTCCAAGCCCTGCTGAGCAAAAACCGTGGACAAGGGACGAAGCCCGCTTGGGGCATCCGTTGCACCCAGATGCACGAACTGCGCCCATGGAAAACCAATCGAACCAGCCAGGGAGCATCGATCCCCATCCGAAAGAAAGAAGACCCCAGTCCCCCACACCGCGCATAGCCACAGCCACGGCAGAGGGTCCGCCACCCCAGAGGGGTGAGTGCAGGGTCGAGGGGTGCGAGAACAACGACATGTTGCTTTTGAGCAGCAAGCTCCGTGGCTTGTCCACCCGCCTGGCAACTCTGCCTGAAATCGCGCTGCAGGATCGCAGGGAATAGCACTTGTTTACCAACGCGAGAGGAGCCAAGTGACCAGTGGCAGAGATCAGAGAGACGATGCGACCGACTGACGGCGACGGACGACAGACGAAGAAGACGGAGGTGCATAGCGCCGCAGCCTGGATATGTGCAATGTTTTCAGATGATGAGTATGACGCGCATGTTTCTCGAGGAGGTGGAAGCCTGCGTACTTTGAACTGTTGGGGAACAGTCCTGAAGGCTGGTCAACAACTATGTAGCAGCACGGGTAAACAACAAACAGCAGAGTATTGCAGCCTTGACTGTATGGCAGCCTCGCGAGTGGAGCCACCGTCGTTCATGAAGAGAGAACTTCACATGTCTGAAGTCGTTGGCAGAACTGGATCTGCTCCTGATACTCGAGGCTCGAGTTAGACGTCTCGCTGAACAGCAGAGGTACGAATAATCCAAATCTCATATTAGCGGGGTGCGGGTCCCAGTAGTGGTTGACAGCGCATCTGGGACCCACCCCAAGAGCAGTGCAGCAACGGGTCCAGTATGGAGACCCCCAAACAATCCTGTTGGACGAGGCCCATTAGAATCCCCCCAGAAGTAGATCCCACCGTCCATGATTGTGAGATCCAAGGTACCTGTGCACGCCGCACTCGTGGCCAAACCCCTCCCCGCCCCCCCCCCGGAGCCGTGACCCCCCGCCTCCCCCCCAAAATCCCCTCGTCCTCCTCAGAACCGGGCGCCCGCCCTCGTCCCTCCCCGGCGAAGCCCCCCGCCCCCGACCCCCCTCCCGGAAAGGAGGAGGAGGAGGAGGAGGAGGAGGAGGAGGAGGGAGAGGAGGGAGAGGAGGAGGGAGGAGGTAGGAGGAGGAGGAGGAGGAGGAGGAGGAGGAGGAGGAGGTAGGAGGAGGAGGAGGAGGAGGAGGAGGGAGGAGGAGGAGGAGGAGGAGGAGGAGGAGGAGGAGGAGGAGGAGGAGGAGGAGGGGGGGGGGGGGCAGCTTCGAAGACCCCTCAATTCCGGAGAAGTCGGGGCGCTATGGCGAAGATCGCCGACAGCCCTTCGCCGCAGGACTTCCAGAGTCATCGCCCGAGCTGATCACGCACCACGGCGGCGGTGGGCGTTTTTCACTGTTTTATGTCTGTTTGTTTGTTTGTTTGTTTGTTTGTTTGTTTGTTTGTTTGTTTGTTTGTTTGTTTGTGCTTGTGTGCCTGCTCCTCCTCCTCCTCCTCCTCCTCCTCCTCCTCCTCCTTCTCCTCCTCCTCCCTCAAATCGTCCCTCTCCTACCACCCGAAACGAGACGGGCCGCCGCAGAGCTGTCAGAGGAGCCCCTCCACCCAGACGCGGCGGCTGAAGCGTCTCGAGCTGCAGGCGCTCGAAGAGACAGCCTCAGCATGGCGCAAGGGGCACGTCCCCTGAGGCGCCAGTCTCCGAAGAGCCGCCTCCTGCGCACGCTTCTGCCCGCGCGCCCTTCTGCTCGGCTCAGTGGCGGTGGTCGAGCAGCGTCTGGCAGGGCCCGCGGGACTGCCAGCAGGACGGCGAGGGTCGGGAGGGCTGCCCGCCGGCCCACGCAGCGAGCATGCTGCAAAAGACCGCTCTCGGCTCGGGAGGGGCTTTGATGCTCATGCCCGTCCGGAGGCCTGGGTGTTCCGTGCTCGGCGCTGCTTCTGGGTCGGGCATGCCCTCCTACAGGCGCACTGGGAAGGCAAATGAAGCACAGCCAACCTTATGTAGCAGAACAGGTAACGAGCACGAGAGGTCGCCCCCAGACTACATGTCTGACTATTCTTGAAGACCTCCACTGTAACAATCGGCGGTGGGCAAACCTCCCTTTAGCAAACCTCCCCTTAGTGAAAACTGCCTGGGACCGAAACCGACGGACCTGGACCCGCAAAAATGGCGGCCGCGACGCCCTCCCGCGAACCGCAAAAACGGCCCATTCCTGAATCGGCGTGGCAGGGAGGTCGATCAACCTCCGAAAAAAGGACATGCCCGACTTCACGCTACTCTGGTGGTAGCGGGATGACTGCACCCTTAAGTCGGGCCCGTCCCTCTACAGGGGGAGTATTCAAAAATAGTAGAAATAATATGGTGACGATTTTTTGGCCATCTTTGACTATGTTTGATTTGTTTGGGAATCTCTTTACTTTTTCGCCCCAAACCCGCCTGTATAGGGGGACGCGCCCGACTTAAAACTCGACCCCTCCCGTACATGGACAATATATTCGAACCCTTACACATTTGAGGGAGATTCTAAATCACCCCCGCGCCCCCGACATCAATGTTGATCTCAGTAAGGGCGGTCCTTTGGGGTTCGAATATTTCTGTCCACTCACGCCCCCCCCGTCGCCACGCCATCAATATTAATTTCGGAGGGTCTGGGGGGCATCTGGGGCCACGGGGTTCGAATATAATGTCCATGTACTGTCCCGCGCCTGGGCGGTGCGGGCAGCTCTGCCCTGCGCTGCCGGCGGCCCCGCGGGGCCCCCGCGGCGTGGCCGTCGGGAGGCGGCCACGCCTCGGCCGGAGCCCGCCGCCCTGCCCCGGGGGCGGCCGCCGGGCCGCGGCAGAGCGGCCTCGCCGTGGGCCCCTCCTGCAAAAGCCGCCGTGGGGGCTCTTCGGTGTTTTTGTTTGTGCTTGTTTTTTTTTTTGTTTAATTTGTTTGTTCGTTTCTTCTGTTCGTTTTTCGTTGTTGGTTTCGTTTTTGCTTTCGTTTGTTTCGTTTGTTTCGTTGTTTTGTCGGCTCCAAAAGCCGCCGTGGGGGCTCTTCGGTTCTTGTTCTTTGTTCTGTTGTTGTGCTCTGGGGCCTCTCGGAGATCTCGGGGGTCCCAGGGAGCGCGCAGGGCCTCGGGCGGCGAAGGCCGTCGTGGGGCTTCGGCTCTCGAGGAGGGTGGGCGAGGTGCTCGACGCCTCGAGCGGGGCCACCCGTCGGTCGGAAGGAGCTGGCTGGCAGTGGAGTCCATCCCTGGAGCCCTCTCACGTCATCCAGGGGCGGGCAGGGACGGTGGGCGGTGCTGGAGAAGAGCGCAGGCATCGCCGCGCCTGTCGCCCTCCACCGCGTGATGCCTCCCACCCTGCTCCCTCCTCCCGCCTCCTTGCCCCATCCTTCCCGCCTTTCTACTCCCTCCTTCGCCCTCCGCGGCGACTTCGCTTCCGTCATGCCTGACTCCTGCCGTGGCCCCTGCTTCCTTCGTCTTCCTCCCGCATCGCATCGTTCTTCCTCCTCCTCCTCCTCCTCCTCCTCCTCCTCCTCCTCCTCCTCCTCCTCCTCCTCCTCTACTCTCCTTCCTCTCCTCCTTTTCTGATCTATCCTCAACTCCGCTCCTTCCCATCACATCTTCCGTTCTCCATACAGCCACGGATGCTCCTCCATCCTTATACTACTACTCCTGGCCATCCTCTTCCCTCCTCCCTTTCCTTTCTCCTCCCTCCTCCTCTCGCCTTCTCACCAAGCTCCATTTTCCTCCTCCACTCCCGTCATCACAGCCTCCTTTCTTTCCCTCTCTTCATCCCTCTCCCCCTCTTAAATTTCTGCCTGCTCACTCTCGGGGGGGATGAGGAGGGGAAAAGGAGGAGGAAGAGGGAGGACGGTGAGGAAGGAGGAGGAGACGGGAGGAGGGAGAAGGAGGGACGAAGAGGAAAAGGCGTAGCAGTGGGAAGGTTGAGGAGCGCCCGTGGTTCTGACGGAGGGTAGAGGATGATGAGGAGGGAAGGGGCGGGGAGGAGGGTCAATGATGAGGAGGAGGAGGAGGAAGAGCGACCAGAGGAGATCTAAAATGCATCACCGATGCTGCAATACACCCTCCCGTCCCAAAGTCCTTGCCTCATCGGTCCCTCCAGGCATTCCGCTCCACTTCACGAAGCGCCCCCCCCTGAGAGACCAACACCTTACGGATCTGTCCGTCAGGCAACATCCCCAGTTTGAAAAAACAGACCGCCAGGCTGCGCAACCCTTGTACACGTTGCCACGTCTGGCCATGAGCGTCGAAGATTTCGCCATCGGAAACCACATGTTGAACATGAGCCGCCCTCCACCCGTGCAGGGGCATCACATCTTCAACCTCCTGGGATCTAAAGTCACAAAGATCCCCGACGAAACCACAACGTTGAAACGGATTCGCCCTTCATCCGGGCAGACGGCATACATTGATATGTCTAGCCTCCGGGCGGAAAGAAGTCTCAAGCGAAAGCCCAGTGTTCCAAAGGAGCCACCCACCCCCTTTCCATGCTGCACGTGCGATGACGAAGGTGTGCGGCGAGAGCCCCATGTTGGAATGACATTGCCCTCCATCCCTGAACCGGCTGCAAACTGTTCAGAGACGTATGTGCGCAGCGCTAGGGCGAAAGCCACTGTGTCGGGAAAAAAACATCTATCTCTGGAGCCGCGTCAGAATTGTAAGATGATCTCCCGTGGCGCTGAGGCGATGCCCACATTTTGAAAACTGCCCCCTCGATCCTTCAGGCTGCTGCAGCGTTTTCAAGGAAACTGAGCGCGGCCGTTAGGTGAGAACAACATGTTGAATTACCCTGGCGACGTACCCAACCCCTGCGCAGTGCAGGGCAAGAGTAGCTTGGGAGATTTGATGAGAAAGCGACGACGTGACATGGACGCATATACTTCTGCAGGCGACATGGGGGAGGTTCGCGGGTCCCCGATCAAGGGAAAAAGCGTGGTAGAGATGAGATACGCTGGACCCACCAGCAGCCCTCGAAAATGGCGACAATGTCGCAGATAGCAGGCCCCCCAGGGACGGCGAGGTCCCGCTCAGGTCTGCGCGGTACCTCACTCCGCTGGACCCACCAGCAGCCCTCGAAAGTGGCGATAGCATCGCAGAGCGCAGCCCCCCAAGGACGGCGAGGTCCCGCTCAGGTCTGCGCGGTGCTTCACTCCGCTGGACCCACCAGAAGCCTCGAAAGTGGCGGCAATGTCGCAGAGCGCAGCCCCCAGGGACGGCGAGGTCCCGCTCAAGTCTGCGCGGTGCCTCACTCCGCTGGACCCACCAGCAGCCCTCGAAAGTGGCGACAATGTCGCAAAGCGCAGCCCCCCAAGGACGGCGAGGTCCCGCTCAAAGCTGCGCGGTACTCCGCTGGACCCACAAGCAGCCCTCGAAAGTGGCGACAATGTCGCAGATCGCAGCCCCCCAGGGACGGCGAGGTCCCACTCAGGTCTGCGCGGTGCCTCACTCCGTTGGACCCACCAGCAGCCCTCGAAAGTGGCGACAATGTAGCAGATCGCAGCCCCCCAGGGACGGCGAGGTCCCACTCAGGTCTGCGGTCTGCGCGGTACCTCATTCCGCTGGACCCACCAGCAGCCCTCAAAAGTGGCGACAATGTCGCAGATCGCAGCCGCCGAAGGACGGCGAGGTCCCGCTCAGGTCTGCGCGGTGCCCAACTCCGCTGGACCCACAAGCAGCCCTCGAACGTGGCGACAATGTCGCAAAGCGCAGCCCCCCACGGACGGCGAGGTCCCGCTCAAAGCTGCGCGGTACCTCACTCCGCTAGGCCCACCAGCAGCCCTCGAAAGTGGCGACAATGTCGCAGATCGCAGCCCCCCAAGGACGGCGAGGTCCCACTCAGGTCTGCGGTCTGCGCGGTAACTCACCCCGCTGGACCCACCAGCAGCCCTCGAACATGGCGACAATGTCGCAGATCGCAACCCCCACGTGACGGCGAAGGTCCCGCTCAGGTCTGCGCGGTGCCTCACTCCGCTGGACCCACCAGCAGCCCTCGAAAGTGGCGACAATGTAGCAGATCGCAACCCCACAAGGACGGCGAGGTCCCACTCAGGTCTGCGGTCTGCGCGGTGTATCACTCCGCTGGACCCACCAGCAGCCCTCGAACGTGGCGACAATGTCGCAGATCGCAGCCCCCCAGGGACGGCGGGGTCCCGCTAAGGTCTGCGCGGTACCTCACTCCATTGGAACCGCCAGCAGCTCTCGAAAATGGCGACAATGTCGCAGATCGCAGCCCCCCAAGGACGGCGAGGTCCCGCTCAGGTCTGCGGTCTGCGCGGTAACTCACTCCGCTGGACCCACCAGCAGCCCTCGAACATGGCGACAATGTCGCAGATCGCAACCCCCACGTGACGGCGAAGGTCCCGCTCAGGTCTGCGCGGTGCCTCACTCCGCTGGACCCACCAGCAGCCCTCGAAAGTGGCGACAATGTAGCAGATCGCAACCCCCCAAGGACGGCGAGGTCCCACTCAGGTCTGCGGTCTGCGCGGTGTATCACTCCGCTGGACCCACCAGCAGCCCTCGAAAGTGGCGGCAATGTCGCAGATCGCAGCCACCAGGGACGGCGAGGTCCCGCTCAGGTCTGCGCGGTGCCCAACTCCGCTGGACCCACAAGCAGCCCTCGAACGTGGCGTCAATGTCGCAGAGCGCAGCCCCCAGGATCGGCGAGGTCCCGCTCAGGTCTGCGCGGAACCTTACTCCGCTGGGCCAACCAGCAGCCCTCGAAAATGGCGACAATGTCGCAGATAGCAGGCCCCCCAGGGACGGCGAGGTCCCGCTCAGGTCTGCGCGGTACCTCACCCCGCTGGACCCACCGGCAGCCCTCGAAAGTGGCGACAATGTCGCAGATCGCAACCCCCTAAGGACGGCGGGGTCCCGCTCAGGTCTGCGCGGTACCTCTCTCCGTTGGAACCGCCAGCAGCCCTCGAAAGTGGCGACAATGTCGCAGATCGCAGCCCCCCAGGGACGGCGACGTCCCGCTCAAGTCTGCGAGGTGCCTCACTCCGCTGGACCCACCAGCAGCCCTCGAAAGTGGCGACAATGTAGCAGATCGCAGCCCCCAAGGACGGCGAGGTCCCGCTCAGGTCTGCGCGGTACCTCACTCCGCTGGACCCACAACCCGCAGAGAGAGAGAGAGAGAGAGAGAACGAGCAAAAAGAAAGCAAAAGAGAAAGAGAGAAACACATTTATATATATATATATATATATATATGTAGAGAAGAGGCGACGAGAGGCAGGAGGCGGGAGGAGGAGGAGGAGAAGGAGACGCGACCACAGTGCTCGAATCAAAATGAATGTCCAACCAAGGGAGGTGGGGGAATGCAACCCCCTCTAACATCTTCAGCCCTTGCGTCTGTTGCATGTTTTAACAAAAAACAATTCGCTCGGTGCCAAGCGGAGCGAGAGCTCCATTTTGAAAACGACCCGCCGTTTATCCTTGCAGCTGTTGCAAGCGACAAGTTTCATGATCATAGCTGCTGAGGAAGTCTCAGGCGAAACGCAGGGCCGACCTCCCGACGCGTCTGGGATTCGACGCGGAGGTGAAGTTATCACGAGGAGGAGGAGGAGGAGGAGGAGTGGAAAGTGAAGCAGGAGGAGGAGCAGGAGCAGGAGCAGGAGCAGGAGCAGGAGAAGGAGGAGGAGGAGGAGGAGGAAGGAGAGGAGGAGGAGGAGGAGGAGGAGGGAGGAGGAGGAGAGGAGGGGAGAGGAGGGGGGAGGAGGAGGGAGGGGAGGAGGGGGAGGAGGGGGGAGGAGGGGAGAAGGAGGGAGGAGGAGAGTGGAGGAGGAGGAGCGGAGGAGGAGGAGGAGGGAGAGGAGGAGGAGGAAGAGGAGGAGGAATGAGAGAGCAGGAGGGTCGGGACCATGACGCCCGACCACGACGACCGCAGCCCGCCTTCACCCAGTCGGCGGGCCCGCCCTTCTCTTCGCCGAGCTTCTTGCAGCTCCACGGCTGCGAGTCTACGTCCGTCGGGTCGACTCCTCCAAAGGGGGGGAGGATGAGGGCAGAGTCCTGCTCCTCCTCCTCCTCCTCCTCCTCCTCCTCCTCCTCCTCCTCCTCCTCCTCCTCCCCCTCCTCCATTCTGCCAAGTACTTCTCATTCGTTCCCATCCCCCCCCTCCTCCTCCTGAAAGGAGAAAGGAGAAGGTTGGGGGGGGGAGGTAAGAGGGTTGATGGGGGACGAGAGAGGGGGCTTTTGGCCGCGCATCCCCCGTCGAAATCCCAATCCAGTGAAAACTAAGCGAGGGCCGGACTCCCCAAAGAATCTGTGTCCTTGGCGAACCTGGCCTGCGCTCCCCCAAGCCGCAATCGTCTTTCGCAGCAGAGCAGCAAGTGGATCAGGGTACCGGGTTGTGTGGCGGCAGCTGGTGTTGTTTAGTTGCCTTGTGTTTTTGTTTCTCTCTCTCTCTCTATCTCTCTCTCCCTCTTTTTTATTTCTCTCTCTCTCTCTCTCTATCCCGCTGTATGGTTCCACGGTCGGTCGATAGGCGGATGGAACCCTGGCCACTGATTTGGGAAGAGGAAGTCGGGAATCTGAGAAAGCGGCAGCAGCAGCAGCAGCAGCAGCATGCGCACGCGCGCTAGCCGCTCCTGCCTGCACAAGTCGTCGCAGGCCGTCAGCAGCAGATGTGTGGCACCAAAGAACTCAACTCGACAAACGGGGTACAACATAAACTCCTGCTGCATCTCCTCCTCCTCCTCCTGCTCCTCCCCCTCCGTCCCGGAGTGGCCCCCCTGACTCTCCCGCGTGAGCCTCCACATGTTCCTCCCTGCCTCTGCGTGTGGTCTGTGTGCTCCGACCTGCGGGTGAGCAGGACAGGAGGCGCGAGAGCCAAGAGGGGAGAGAGCACGCTCCAGTCCGATCACCGCGCACCGCGCTCCGAGGCACGGGCCAGAGGCCAGAGTGTGGCTGTGCCCCAGAGGCTTCGGGAGGGCTCCTCCTCCTCCTCCTCCTCCTCCTCCTCCTCCTCCTCCTCCTCCTCCTCCTCCTCCTCCTCCTCCTCCCTCGTCCTCGTCCTCGTCCCCCTCCTCCTCCTGCTCCTCCTCCTCCTCCTGCTCCTCCTCCTCCTCCTCCTCTTCTAAGCTTGTCGAGCGGGGCGCGGCCAACGAAAGTGGCCAAGGATGGCCGAGGAGGCAAGGATGCAAGGGTGCCATTGGGAAGGTTGCCCATCCTTGCTATGCGGGTTGACTGTATCGCACTTCGCGCCGAGTGCGATATAGTGCGATGCAAAGCACGAGAACTCGGGCAACCTAGTGGGATCGGCCAAGGTCCTAATTGGCCGAGCATTCCAGAGCGAAGGATCCAGGAATTTCTATCTGAATCGACTGCCTACTGCTGGGTGTCACCCCTAACGAATTTTCAAGGCATGGCCAGAACCTCATATCTGGGCGTCTGGAAAAATTGCTTTACCGCTGGATTCGCTACACCACGGCTAGTGGCATCAACCCGAAGCGCTAGCTACACCATGGCCACTGGCACTACGTTTCGGCCACCCCATTTGCTATAAGGATGTGGCCCGTACTCGAACAACGTCTGACTTCTGGCAGCACGGAATTCAGCAAGCTGGCCCAGAATCTCCAGTCCTTCGCCGATGGCCGCCTCATCTCTAAATATGGGTTTAGGTACCCGTTAAGCCTAGACCGCGCTTGGTAATCCTCCGTCCTGGAGTGCACTGCGCCCTGCAGAATGCAGATCCGTCGGACTTGGACTTCTCGTAGCATGCGAAGCCTGTGATGTTGCAGCACAGGGAGGCCGAGCAGTCCTCGAAAGCCCCGACCTTGGATTGGTGGTCGTGGCCTCACCCCTGATGTGAGACGAAGACAATGAAGCGAGGCGAAGCGAACTTCGGAGCTGTGCGCGCTCCTACAGGGAGCCCGCGCCCAACAGGGCATGGTGTTGAGGCCGTGGCCTCGGCAATCAATGCGAGTGCTGTACCTGCCCGTCGCCTCGGCGAGGCGCGCCTACCGAGGAGCGACTCCCGTGACCAGGCCCGCAACCCGGTGGAGCTTCTCAAGCTGTGCCACGCGTTCCGAGCGGAGACGAGGCCTGAGGTGAGACAGCGAGGCATCACGAGCAGGAGCAGGGCGAGGAGAAGCACACGGGGAGGGGCGCTGGGAGCGAGCTCCACGCGACAAGCTCCGCTTCACGCCTTGCCAGCGTGAGAAACTGGACCGGGAGCAGGGCAGAAGCAGGACCAGGAGCGGGGCGGAGAGAGCTGGAGGAGCGGCAGCACCGATCACGAAATCTCGACGCTGCTCGCTGTGGCGCTCCTCGCGCTCCACACGTATACGCCGTACCTCCCGGGGCCCCAAAGACCCCGCCCCCGTTGCGCCTTCGGCCGTCGCACCCTGGAGGGCATGCCCTTCCCATGCGTGGGGCGGGCGAACTCCGACGGGCCCGGCGGGCGGGCACAGTGATGGGCCTGTTTTCCACCACCGCCACCATAAGTCGAAGGGGGGAAGGAGGTGGAGGACGAGGAGGAGGGCAAAGAGGAGGAGGATGACGAGGAGGAGGAGGAGGAGGAGGAGGAGGAGGAGGAGGAGGACCCCCTCCCTCTCCAACTGATGGTGGTGGTGGTGGAAAACGGGCCCATCATACAGGCCGCAAAGAGCTGCCGCGGCGGCTCGGTGCGGGCGAAGTGCATCCCGGCGGCCGCGCGGGCTCTGGCCATGGCGGGCAGGGCGGACCCCGTCGGGCCGGCGGACCCCCCGTCGGAGGGCAGGCTCAAGCTCGCGGGCGGGCGCCGTGCGGACCAATTCCGAGCGGGCCCTGCCCGGCGGACCGGGCGCGGGACGCCTCGAGCGAGAGAGCGCGACTCACGTCCGCCGACCCCTGTGGGGTCTCCCTGCGTGGGAGGGGGGGGGGGGGGCGAACTTTGCCGCGGCTGCCCCGGAGGGCCCGGAATGCGCCCAGGAGGAACCAGGACGGCCCAGTGGCCCAAGAGCCTCCCGAGACGGGCCAGGAGGCACCAAGACGGCTTCCAAAGACACCTGGTAACGATGCCTCAAGCGAGGCCCTCAGGAACCATGACTACGGATCTCGTTCAGAGACTCCGCGCCCACGGACCGAAAGCGTCTGCGCCAGTGGCCACATGTCCCTAGAGGACGCCGCGAGCTCGACCGACCATCTGCTCACGAAGACCGAGCTTCCCAATGAGGACGGCCGCGTGCAAAATGGCATGGCCCTACCACCATTGGCGAACAAATACACCCACGAGACGGAGAAACCCGCGCCCATGCGTTGAGACCTCTCGCGCCCCTCGATTTCAATATTCAAAACGGGTCTCTGCGGGTTTGAACTATGAGCGTTCATTATGCTGATGATTGCACTCCGACAACGACAGCAAATACAATATTGAAATGTGGGCCCCAAGGGTGGCCCCGTCGACACAACATCTTTGGATGTGCGATTTGGTGACGCCACCAGCGGTAATCCTGGTTGTGTTCCAGCTCTGCTGGCAATACGGTAGGCCAATGCATTCGGTGAAGCCGTCGGCTCAGAGAGACCACCACGGCGGCTCCCCGCCCCTCTCCCCCGCGGCTGCCTGCGCCTTGGGGAATGGCGATTGATTGCTCTTTCGCTCGCCCTTGCCCAGCGGGTGCGCGACGCACTGCGCCGTCGGCATGGACTGCCACCGCCTCGTTGACAACCACCACCAGAGCGACCAGTCTAGGGGGGTCCCGGTGGTATGGTCCACCCCCTCTCGCTCGAGACAACTCCGATCCCCGACTCGGGGAGGCATCGTGGACCCCCTTTCTGGACGCTGAGACCCGACGTTGCGAAAGAATTGCAGCATCGTGAGAATCACGACCAGAGCCCTAGAGCACGCCTTTCCGTGGCACTTGCCGAGCTGGATCGATCCAAGATGGCCCCGACCTGCAGCATGCGCGCGGGCCGTTGCGGAGAGAAATATGTGCGGGTAAGACCGAACTTGATTGCGCAGCCCAGGAATCAATCGGTGCCGGAAGCAATCATCCGATCCAGAACTGCAGAGCGAGGACGAGCAGAATCAGAGCGAGGGCGAGGAGAGCCAGCAGCAGCACAAGCAGCCGCGGCTGCTGCTCTCCTGGTGTGGGTCAACAAGTTGAGGAGAACAGTTATCGTATTGGGAGGAAGGGGTTGGGAGGATGAAGGGTATGAGCAATAGCATCCGGATGCAATGAACGAGACCTTTGGCCGCCTGCGGGTAAGAACACCCTCATTTCTCCCAGCCCCATCCTCCCAACCCGTCACTTGTCTTCCTGACAAGTGCGGTGCTCGCCTCCTCCGCTGCCGCACCAGCGCCCCAGTGGCAGGGGAAAGAAACAACGGCTCAATAAAACACATCAGGTTTCGGAGGTCTGCGCGGATGCGCCAGGGGGCGGCGCCGGAGGCGCCCTTTCGGGGGCCCAGCGCCGATCCAAGAAATCCGCGCGGAGCTCGGAAAGTCTATGTCTACGCGGTGTTCTCGTTCGGATGGCGGTTCGCTGGTGCGTATGTTCAAGCACGAGATGGTCGCATCGAGAGCTGCCCTCGCAGATGTGTCCAAAGCAGCAGCAGCGGCGGCGGCGACGGCGGTGCTCCGCGAAGGCACCCGAGGAGCTGCTGAGGCCGCCACGCATGGGGGAGGGATGTCGCCAGCTGTCCGGTCGCCCAGCTCCTTGCAGGGCGGAGGACCGCCAGTCGCGGATTGCGCGATCCCAGTAGCTCCAACGCCTTGCGAAAATACATCTCATTCCATCTGTGTTAGCTCCTGGCGCCCCGCTGGACCCCGGGACCGTAGACGAGACGCGACTCACCAGACGCCAGGCCGACCCTCGGAGGGAGGCGCCTGGATTTCTGGGGGCCCAGGCCGGACACGAGCGCAAGACGTCGGATCTCGGTGTCCTGCTCCCTCCCGCGCCCCATCGCCACGCGCACCTCCACCCCCGAGCGCTTCCCCTCGTTGCCCCCCCCCCCTGCCTCTCCTTCGGGAGCGGCCAAGAGGGGGGTGTCCAAGAGGGGGGGGCGTGCAGATCATGACCGGCGGCGTGTGCGCGGCCCAGCGGGGGGGCCAGGGACGTAATGAAAGAAGAAGGGGCGCCATGAGATCCACCCCCCCCCTGGTCATCACCCCCCTCTTTTCCGCTCCCGACTCCTCCTTCCGGAGGAAGACCGCTTGCGGGATCGCCGGCCCTCCCGAGAGAGGCAAGGGGGGGGGGGGGGAAGGGGAGCAGAGGACGCAAAGGGCAGGCTGCCGATACCTCCGCGCGCCGTGCTCCGGCCCCTCCCCGCTGTCCCGCCCCCCGCCCCCCGCGCTCCCGCCCCGACGCCCCCCGCGCCCGCCCTGCCAATCCATCTCCGGCGCCTCCTCCTGCCCCTGCCTGCTCCTGCCCTCTCTCTCTCTCGTCGTCGTCGTCGTCGTCGTCGTCGTCGTCGTCGTCGTCGTCGTCGTCGTCGTCGTCGTCGTCGTCGTCGTCGTCGTCGTCGTCGTCCTCGTCTTTTGCGTTGGCGCCGGCGGCGGCGGCGGCGTCCTCGTCGTCGTCGTCGTCGTCGTCGTCGTCGTCGTCGTCGTCGTCGTCGTCGT